TTACAGTATGCATAATGAATATCTATAGAGGAAAATATATTCGTATAGTAGGTGAGCATTATTTAAGTTAATATATGTAATAAGTATCGTTATTAATTTTCACATTTTTCTTTAAGAATAGACTGTATTCATCTATTATAAGAAACATATATTTTTTTTATTTTATAATAGCTTTTATTTATAATATCGTTACAAAAATCATGTTATTAATTTTAATAGAATTTTATAATTACGGATTTTATTATTAGTTCATTGATCTTTATACACTAACTTTTGCAGCAAATATAGAACATAACGCTATTTTCACTGGAATACAGTCCATCACTGAAGACACTTACAGCCTTGTAAAAATATAAGTTCTAGTTTAAGATTCTTGTTATAGTAGTTAAGATCAAGTCTTATTAAATGATCACAATATATTTACAAAGGAAGGTATATAATTCTACTCATATTCTGCTATAAGTACCATCATATATACACCTAAGAGAAGCGCAATGATTTCTTTTACAGATTGCCCAAATTTAGTATCAGTTAAAAGTTCTGGAATTACAGATACTGTTGCGATATAAATAAATCCACCTGCTGTGAATGGAAGAATCCACATAGTTGCAAAATCACCTATAAGTTCAAATGAATGTTTAACTGAAATTGTAAATTCATTGATTGGGAGTATATAGTTTTTACAATATTATAATTTTTTCTTACCCATGCCTTCTGCAAGCAATGATACACAAGTTCCTAATAGAGCACCTACTGCAGTACTAAGCTGAAGCATCATAGCCTGTGAAAAAATTATGATCATAATTTATTAATACGATTTACTAAAAATCTGTTTAATTATTCATTTTTCTAGTATCTTACTTTTCTTTTACTGTAACCACTTTGTATTAAAATAGCAAAATCTCCTATTTCATGAGGTATTTCATGTAATAAAATCGTGAAAGTGGTAACAAAGCCAATACTGCTACCAGCTAAGTAACTAGCTCCTATAGCGAGGCCATCTGTAAAGTTGTGTAAAAAATCTGCTACTAGGTTTAAACATCCAGCAATTTTTATTTCATTCTCAGGATGATTTTCAGATTTCTTAGAAACTAGATCAGATGTAACTGTATTTTTCTTTGAGTTGCTATCATCTTTCTTTTCTTTCTGCATATTTTCTGGGACGCTATGTACATGTACATGAGTATGGTCAGTTTTGATAAGTCTTATTACTTTTTCCACAACCAGAAACATAATAATACCTAATAATATACATAAACCAACAGACATATTATTAACATGATCATGTTCTTCCTCATCATGGCTATGAGGCACCAAAGCATGAGGTATTAAATGTAGAAATGCATCTCCTAATAGTCCACCAGAAGCAAAACTTAATAATATTTTTAGTAGCGGCTCATGTTCTTTTGTATTGTCCAATGGAACAAAAAATAAAATAAAGAATGGAGCCACTGAAATGATTAAGGTGGATGTAATTGCTTTCACAAATACATAATCCTCTGATTTGTCAGGCAACATTGGCTTATGTTGATGCTTATGTGCATGATGACCATGCTCGCGTTTTTCCTGAGTTTCATGATCGTGTGAGGAATGTTCACTTTTTAGATATTCTTGATTAGCCTCTTTGGTGTATTTAAAACTTGGTAATTCACTATGACTGTGGGCTTGACAAAGAGCAGGCAAGTTTAAAAGTATCAACAATAGAAATATTGTAAACATAATTTTTGAAATCCATTTATTTGCACAACTTTGTTGATTAACGTTTATCGTGACCATGTCTACAATCTCGCACAGACTGTCTGAAATATAATTTAATCACGTAGTGTCGTTGGTATATCGTTAACATTCGTAAATAAAGACTTCGGAGTCTCAATAATTGTAATTTAGGTAACCAGTAATAAGATATGTAAATAAAAATGCAGATGAAATACTTTATGAAAACGTGATTCGGTCTATTTTTTCACGGTGTAAGAACACAATACTGTTGGCAACATTGGTATGCCGCACTGCTGCACTGATGACAACTTGTCAATAAGCCTGAAGTATGAAATGAATTTCAAATTTGAGAGATCGTTGAGACTAAAAATTATGTGTAATCGCTAATTTAAAAATAGTGTTCGTTTAATAGAAAGATGCATCTGCGATATATAAATTAATATAAATATAATTGTATAGATAAAAAAAATTGTCGCAATGTAAAAATTACTCAATACAATGTCTAAAATTGCGATTGGTTGAAATAAATACATACAGGTAAGTAACTTAACTGCCTGCGTACTGCGTACATCATCTGTCAAACGGCGCGGCGGGCTTTAATAAGGTTAGATTGCTGGAAACAAAATTCTGAATGCATAAATCATAAATGTCTTATTTAAGAACATCTTACACGTGATGGCACATAATAATACCTCGAAAACTGTGAGGCATGGATTTTGCGATGCCATTTTCTCGAGTGCGCCAATTAATTTTGACAAGGAAAATACAAATTCTTTGAACAAAATGTAAGTGTAGAACTTATTTTCTGTTTATTGTTTACTTTATACATATTTATTATATACATTGTATATAGATAATAATTGTCTATTGATGACTATTGTCATTTTTTAGGGAGAAGACGTGTTCTGAAATATGTGACACACCTTGTAAAGGAATCCAAAATCAACGTGAAAATAAATGTCTGAAACTTGAGAAACATAAAATATTTTTTAATAATGAGTTAGTGGAGAATACGAAATTAATAAACACACCTTCTAGTTCAAATCTCACTCATTCAAAGACTATAAATACATTTCAAAGGAAACAAGTCTTATTTCCAGAAAATATTTTATCCAATAACCAATGTAAAATTACAAATGTGCCATCAATAACTTCTCTAAATGACAAGACACCGACAGTGCATTTCTGTACTCCTAAGCAATATAAAGCACGCACTGCTGCAATTAATACAAAAATAAATATTCCACCTGTGAACAAGACACCTGTAAAACGTTATTTCAGTGATGATATTTTATCTGAAGCAACACCTGACTGTTTTAGTATAGTCCAGGTGGAAACACCATGTGCTAAATCAAATGAAGTTTGTATAGAAGACCAAACAGTATTCGAAGGAGAAAATAGTAACTTGATTGTGGGTATACGTATTAGACCATTAAATGCAAAGTAAGTTAAAAAACTGTGTTGTTAGAAAAATTTTAAAAGAATGCTATGTTTGAATATAACGTTTTTCATTCTATTAATATAGAGAACTAAGTGACTCAAAAATTGCATCAGTTGTGAATGTGAATGGCCAGAATATCACTGTCAATTGTGAATCCATCCAGCACACTTTCACGTATGATCACTGTTTTATATCATACGAAGATCCAAACAGGACTGGTCATGCTAGTCAAGAAACTGTGTTCACAAATATGGTTCTACCATTAATACAGAATGCTTTTGAGGGATATAATGTTTGTTTGTTTGCTTATGGACAAACAGGGTCTGGTAAAAGTTATAGTATGATGGGTCAAGAATCTCCTCAAGCAAATGCAACAGTGCTTGACAAGGCAACTGGTATTATTCCAAGATTCTGTCAAGAAATATTCTCCAGGATACCTATAAATATAAATACCACAACGACGGTAGAAATTAGTTATTTTGAAATTTATAACGAGAAGATACACGATCTTTTGACGAACGTTAATAATGGAGTGAAAAGAGCTCCCCTCAAAGTTCGAGAACATCCAGTTTATGGTCCATATATTGTTGATTTGAGTCAGCATTGTGTACAAAATTATCAAGACTTGCAGGTATAGTCGTACTTGTAACATGTATTATAAAACCATATTACAGATGTACCAAAATACAGTTGAATTACTCTATAAATTACAATTATCTTGTAATTTGATTACATTGTACGTAAATTATATTCATGACCATAATAATTAGTAATTGACTTAATTGAAAAGTTTGAATTATATAATTGAATTTGTATAACTGTGGAACGTATTCATTGCTTAAACAATTATTTAGTTATTCATATGTATACTTACGAATACGTATACTTTAGACTTGGATTAAAGTGGGCAATTCTCAACGGGCTACAGCAGCAACAGGAATGAATGAGAAGAGCTCAAGATCGCATAGTATATTTAGTATTATATTAACGCAAACACAAGTCAGTAGTCAATTAAATAAGGAACACGTTGATCCTAGCCGTCGCAGTAAAATTAATTTAGTGGATTTGGCAGGCAGTGAGAGACTGAGTCAAACTTGTGCCAGTGGCGAAAGACTGAAGGTTCGTCATATTATATTTTGATGTATATTTTTTAATAATTTATCTATATAATTAATTGCATTTTATAGGAAGGTGTGTCCATTAACAAGTCGCTGCTTACCTTGGGGAAAGTAATCGCATCTCTTGCTGAAAACACGAATAATCGCAAGCGAGGTTTCGTTCCATACAGAGAGTCGGTACTCACATGGCTGCTGAAGGTAAGTAACATTAAAGCAAGCCTAGAAAATATCGTTTATTTTAGCGCATGTTTTATTTTTTTTATTAATAAAGCATTATTTCTTTTTTAACAGTCTGTAAATTTTATGATAATAATATTTTTTCATCATTCTATATTATTTCTATAAAGAATATATTTCTAGAATAAGGCAATTTACAAACTATTTACGATATTATTATCGCTAGATAATATTTTTTCGAATATAGTTTCGTGTGTGAAGTCAGTCTTATAGATTATTCAATCTTCCATTGAATATTCCCTTAACTCTAATTTCCTTAGTTAAAGAATTTTTTTAAAGGTACATCAATTTAAAAAATCCATTGTCTTTTGATAAATAAAAATAAGCATCTTTCTTCACGATTACGATATAAATGCAATTATTTGCTACAGTGAATCATAATGTTCAATCTTTCCATCATTTCGACGGTGTATTGGAAGAAATTAAAACGTTCGATAATGTATAAAATTTATCTCATGCTTATGAAAAGCTTCTTCAATTTGATGTACAATCTAAACGAGATAAATTACTAATCGTATACACCTAGTTCAATAGAAAAAAAATTCATGCATGTTCGTGCGTATTACGTACATGCACAGGATAAGATAATAAACCTTATTTGTCTTTCTTTTTGCAACGTAACTTATCGAAGCATGAAAAGACCGAGAATAAATTAGTTTTCGATGGCGTAACGATCAATGTAAAGCTCTAAATACCTCGGCAAGCAAAATCTGTGAAAGTTAAGGACGATTTTGAATCTTATTACTGTTTTATACGTTTCAACGTATCTTATTTCGAAAGTTCATCAATACCAACGAAAATTTAAGCGAGTTGTTTCGTAATTATGCGGCGTGCAATTATATGGGGCAGACAGCACGAGCTATGATTGCGTCTCCTTGGTCTCTTTCGATTCATTGGGTGTTTTTGAGACTCCTTTTCCCGCTTTCAACTGTTGACCAGTATTTTCAGTCTCCTCCCTAACATCCTGTTCTTCCTCTTCCTCGTGGATTTCTTGGCAAGAGCCCCGCCGCGATTTGCCTCTTATGTAAGCCGCGAGGCTTCTTCTTTTGCTCTCTCGGCATAAATGGCAGCTCTCTTTCGACAGTTGCTTCTGCTCGTGATGTTGCTGCTGCGGCAATCGCTGACAATGATTCTGCGACGATCGCCCTAGAACACAATCGAATCCTGCCATTGGAATCGTTGTCTCCAAAAAAATTGTCATTTTTTCGTTCTGTCGTAATTACCATTTTTCTGGACTCAGTTTTACCTGTTCTATATTTATTCAACTTCGTACGCAAACGTGTGCGAATTGTTGGGTACACAACAGAAAGCTTGCAAAACAGAAGAGAACCATGAAGAATAACAATCTATACCTATATCAGTTTTTACCGAATTATGGCACAGGCGCTAACAGTTTATCGAAGACGTTTCGTCACCGGCGCTACGCTGACAATTTTTAGAAACAGACGTGCTCTCACACACGTAGCCAACCCAAGTCAAGTCCCTCTTGACCTTACGTCCGACTCATTCGGGCCTGTTACCCTATTTTATTTTAATCATTTGCGGTAAAATTGGATCCAAATTCCTGACCTACGCCAAGCAATCGCTGTGAATAATACAATTGCGAAACGAAAGAGAGATATAGTATTTCGCTCGATAAACAAATCGAACGTTCATGCTGAAAATAAGCCTCTCACATAGGTTCCTTCGTTCACGTGACGGATCGCACGTACGCATCTAGCGTTTTAACTCACGTGTGGAATACACACACATATTATTGCTCTTAAATCGAAGAATGATTGGGAGAACAATTGATGCATCAGATAAAGATTCGAGGAGATAAGAATCGGCGGTTCACTGAGCAATATTTTCGGTGTTGGCGGTTGTTTGTTGTGTTAAAAAATGAAATGGAAAAGACGAAATTCCTTATCACGTTCTGAGCTGTTATCGTTACAGAGTCCATAAATATAGGATAGCCGCGAGGACGTATTTTGCAAATCGGTCAACTAGAAATAGACTCTTACGTCCATTGTTGGAGTCCAAAAGCGGATTTTAAAATTCTTCAAGCAAAAAACTCAAATTGATCTGACACGGGTTACCCGCTACTCGTTTTCTTCTTAATAAAATTGTGCCACTTTCTTCGAGCCTTATATCAGAATGTGTATGATTTTATGAAATCCAGAAATCTCATTGACTATTCATAACGAATATTCTTGTACCTTGGTATTTCATTGTTTGAACGAATCATGTTCAATTTTTAATCGCGAACTCAATGAAGATGTTCACTTCACAGCACACCGTGCAATTTTTTTTTATCCTCGCCAGTAGGTGATTGCGATTTATACACCACGCCTCATTATCGTACGATATTCTTAGCCCTGTTTACTAACTGGCAGTATGTCACGTCGGTGACAAAAGTATTTATAGATCAAGTCGCATATTCTTTTAGCTTCATATACAAATATAGATAGGCGGCTCTCTCGTACAAACGCAGCATAGACATCTGCGACGGAATGCCTGTCTGTAGGATCATTAACATGTTTCATTACGAAATATCCCGGGGATGACTGCAAACCGTAATCGTAACGACCGTAAATATGTTTTTTTAACGTCTTGAGTATCGTGTCCTGTTTTGTTTACTGACCCGTCTACTTATGTAACGATCCCCGGTGCGAATAATTTATCTCATTCGAAAACGAGAAGCCGACTCGCGAGCATTCGGCGCGGGCACGAGATATTTCGAGAACCATGATTTCTAGACTTCACGCGTGATAAATAACATAGAAATATGGCTTTATGCGACTAGTTCCTTGTTGACGATAAATTCACCCGCAGGGCGGGGTCAACTACGTGGAATACCTGTTGAACACACCCAATCGAAGAATCAATCGGAATTATGGATTAGAGCGCATATCTTTATAATTCTTACTGAACTTTGTATCAGAACGTAGTACACGCCTTTATGACGTCTCAAAAGATAGCGTGCTGTTGTCTTTGCTAATTATTGAACTGATTCAACAAAAAAAAAGATCTTTCAAGAAAAAGAAAGTCCACGATTAGGCGTTGTATAACTTTTTCTTCCTGGAAAACACACGATACTTGACAAAAGCATAAGATTATAGTTTAGTTGAAGAAATGATTAAATCGTTTATGTTGTATTTTATTCGGATTTTAATTTTATGATTATCGTTGTTTGTGAACGTTAATGAATAGTAAGATCGTATGAATGAAGGGGAAACAGCTTCTTCGTGGAACCAATCGGATTTGTATGTACGTACTGCGTCATTTCGCTTGGCGTCATTTTGATTGCGACTGCAAGCGACCGGAAACGAAATTCATCGACGTACATTTCTACAACCGTTACCATCGTAAAGTAACATAATGACTCACTGAATCCGAAATGAAATGTACAATGAGCAGAGGATCTTCGTCTGATTCCAAACACAGAACTTTTGACTGAGCAGTTAGGAGATATGAATTATCGTACTAGACGATCAATCAGTTTGAACTTTTTGATGAAAGAAGTAGATATTTTCTTTTACAACTCGTACACGCGCGCTGTTAACATTTTAAGCGTTATAGAAGGATCAAGTCGTCTGTTAAGGAAAACCGAGGGAATCCAGTTCCGTAAACGGCGATCGAGACTCGCGCGTGCTTTCACGTCGGAGAATCCGTAGTTCCCTCAACAGAATAATTCATAACGAGTCCTCGTGAATAATTTTGACAGCAAGCTATAAGTCAAACCTCTTTTTCAAGTTTTCGTAACGATATCAGAACGAAGCACGAGAGCGACAGAAATGAGTTCGGGTCACGATTACATAAAATTAAATAAAGAGTTTAGAATTCGAGTCGCCTCGAAATGCAACAAAAGAAAGTCGAATGTGTCGCAAACGCTCGTCGCCTTCGTAGCCGATGCCAAAACGGAGTACGAAGGCTGTTCGAGCAAACTCTGGATGCAGTCACAGATTCGTTATAAAGCCTAACCACTGTTCGAAATAATTACTCTGATAAGACTGGGCTCTCCTTGGATTGTGAAAATCCGAAAGTCCGATACGATGACATTGCTACGCTTCTCCACAGAGAAAACGTGTCGCTAATTATAATTATTCGCTGGTCGGTCACGAGTGGATTAATTACAAAATCTAATAGACGTTTCGAAGCGGATCCAAGGATGAATCGCTACACGTTATTATTCGGATGAATTTCGCAGTAACGCAACAGCCAAGCAGAACACGTCCTCGTGATAAAAAAAAAACGTTTATGTGAGCATGCCAGAGAGCCTGTGCAGACCAACACGTGCATTTGCTGCGAATGCACGATCTCTTATCTGCAACAGAGTTTACCACGACATTGTAGGTAAACCGACGAGCAACTAGACCTCTGATCGCAAAAATTGTGAAAACAAAATGCGCAGATGCACAAATTAACCGATCTTTCAAAGGATCTCGTAGATCCCCCTATGAAAGGAATCCTGATCTCACACAATATCTGTTTACTACGTAAAAGCAAGACTTACACACGTACCATTGTTAAAGTAGTTTGTGTTCCATGGTTGCTCGTAGTCCCTGTACGGCTGGCTCCTGAGGAACCCGTAGTTTAGGACCTCCGGGACATAGACTAAATCCATGCTCGATCTTTGGCTATCTGTTGCTCTTATCACGAAGGATCTATGCGCATCTCACACGCGTCGTCACCCTCGATATGTCTGGACCTTCACAGACTGAGAGACTCAGAGAGAAAGAGAGAGAGAGAGAGCGAGAGAGAGAGAGATGAGGAGAGGGAGAGAGAGAGAGAGTCACTGATCTTCTGCTGGTAGCGCTTTAACCGGCTTTATATCTCGAACAGCAGATATCCTCTGCTTTGGTTCTCGTTTTGCTTCGCGTGCAGAAATTGAAACGTCGACGAAGTTGCTGTACCTCGCCTTTCTAAAGCGACAATTTCGTTGGGCTGACTGACAGATCGATCCGCGAACGCGACGCTTCTTCTTCTTCTTCTTCTGTTATCCAACCAAGGTTAATTGATTGGTAAACAACCAGATTCAGTTTGGTGATGTTGCTCTTTTCCGAGGGAATCGGCCGGTCTCTGACGCAGTGCGACGTTCACGCGTCCCTGCTCTCGAATCGCCACGGTGTTTTCCTTTGAACTAAACGAACGTGCGTGGACGCTGTGCATGTAATGTTTATCCGTCGCGTCGTGGCCTGCCCCTCTACGTCGGCCACCGGCCTCACCACTTCCTCCCCCGTCGTCCCTCGCGCCCCCGCAACAGTCTGTCATCGCCCCCTACTCCAACGGCGATCACCTTCGCGAATTGCGGCGCGGATTTTGCGACTTCTAAATGCGTTTTCCTGGTTCACCTTCGCCTTTTCCCTTTTCACGATACGTCTTATCTCTGCCGCGGATTAAACGTCGCGATACCTCTGTCGAAACATATCGCCTGACCCACGACTTTTTAATGTTGTCTAGCCGGTTGCCGATCTTTCTCGATTTCTCACGATTTTCTATCCGGTCGCCGATCGCTCGCGATTTTCTAGCCGGCCGCGATCAGGATATTTAACCCTGCCGCGACATAGGGTCAGCCCCGCGGTCTGTATAATTATGGTAAAAGGGGGCACGATTGTTGGTTACAATTTGTCTTTTCTGAGAGAACTATAGATGGAAAGGGTGGCTAATACAATATGTCTCGTCATAATAATTGGAAATTTTGAGGGACCCTGTATATAAAATTTTGACTGCGAGACTTTACTTGTGTTGGAGATATTGAAAAGAAACTTTCGGTAGAATATATTGTGAAATAGTCTTGGCAATAGTTGCATTGAAACATTTGCATTGAAATAAAGATATCGATATGCTAATAGATAGATGCAAAATAGACCAATGGCTATTGTCAAAATCGGCTTTGTAAATTCCAGTCAGCCAACAAACGGTATGAAAAATGTGATTTTTATTGTAAAAGAATGTTTATTGCGTAGACGGTGTCGTAATGTTGAAATACCGCGAAAACAACATCGATTTTTTCTCAATACTAGTTTTTGCAGTATAGTTCAAGATAATGACTCATGGACTCATATGCATACGATCGGTGTGATACAAATAGGATCGGATGCACATACAGCATGTGACACTTCATGAAATATAATAATTTCCATTCTTTATTTAGCACTTGATGATCATAATCTAGCCGGGAATAAGAAAAACAATTTTTTACGTGTTTTCATGAGTCAACGTACAATCGTGCGTTTTCGCATAAGCATGTAAAAATGTCCACCGGAGCACTCTTCTGACAGTCTATGTCAACATTCCACGTTCGGAATCGTTGTTTCAGCGATTCGAAGCACATTATTCTGCGTTTCTGTTGTATTCCGGATGTATATGTGTTTTCCTCTATAACGAATGCTGTCGACCTCATACAAATAGCTATTTTCGAAGCTATTATTAACAACAAGATCTAAGAGCTGTTTGTTCGCGAGAGAGACGCTTTGCGATGTAAACACGTATCTCGGGAATCTTAGTCCGATAACTGTTATACGTTTAAGTGCAAGTTCAGTGATAATTTATCGACTCCCTTGACGCAGTATCGCGCTAGACAAGGTTGCGATTACTTTTCATGTACAACGAAATCGTCAATCATGGAAAAGCTTGTTTGGTTAACAAAAGCAGGTGGTTAACTTAACTCCCGGATAACCTTGAACCGCCGAACACACATTGTTCTTCGAAAGATTTATTGCGTCGGCGGATCATAAAAATTCCGCTTTCAAGCTGAATTACAATAACGAGGCTGATAAATAGGAGGATCATGTTGCTGATAACGTCGCGAAATTTGACAATATAATGAAAAATAAGTTCGCTTGGTATTGTCTATAGGAAGGTTTTTCTAGTTATTCCATATCTATGCAATACAAGACATGGCCTTTCGACCATGTGAATCGATTATTTGTTTGCGTTTTTAGCATAATACATTCGCGACGATAAGGTATCAGATAATCCAACTTGAAAGCTGCTAAAATACATGTTCATCCGGAATAGAGGTGTCCTCGGACCCTCGATCATGATACCTCATTGTAACCGGGAGATGAATATCCAAACGAAAAAATTATATTCCAATTGAAAATCAGTAAGCGATCTCGTTAATTGACGATAAGAAAAGTATGTACTTGAACGTGATACTGACGCGGTCGGACGTTAATGATCGACGACGTTTCATTTTTCATTGTTGAATAAGTATATAACGGTGAGATTCGCGAGTTTGCACAAAAGAGAAACTCTCTGCGTTTTATTTGCGGTCTTATCAGGGTTCTCTTGGTAATATCAGGATAAACGCTAAAAAAGATATGCCAAGGTGTGATTGATCACAAAGCGAAACAGCACTCGAAAGATTAGACTGCAATCATTCTTCCCGAGGCTCAACTTGTTATCGTCTGATAATGATTATTTATGCGTAACGTCATTGAGATTACAACAGATAAAGCATCCTGAGTCATTATAATTGAAGTGCAAGACCCCGTGCATTATTAAATTATACCGAAAAAATGATTGTTGTGTCAGATTAATCAGCGACAAGGCCTATCGTCGCTATCGAAACTGTTCGATGGAACGGGTCAACGAACAACAATTAATTATTAGTAATCTGTAATCGATCATGCCATTGTCTACGATGCTCGCAGTTCATTGTTCTGTTAACCGATAACGAGTAAACAATTTTTAAAGGTCGCTCAGCAGTCTCGTTGTTAATCATAATCGTAATCGTGTTATGACAGCGCTTAGAGGCGTTAATTTTTATCTTGCCTTGTTTACCCGTTGATCACGATGATACATTGCTCGTATGCATTCGAAAATGCATTGAGCAGCTCGACCGGGCATTGAAGTCTCTCGAACAATACCATTCTTCGACTACCACGCGTATTTTGATGACCTCGACACGATTTTTATATTCGAAAGTGCTGCATTTTTTGCTTAAACGAAGTCTATTATCTGGCGCTATTATTTTTTTATGAGCTGTATTTCACAGTGGAAAAATTCTTTTTGAAATTCTCAGGAGAGCCTCGGTGGAAACTCGAGGACGGCTATGCTGGGAACAGTGTCACCGGTTAATATTCACGTGGAAGAAACATTGGCAACCCTTCGCTATGCTTGTCAGGCACGAGCCATTGTCAATCGAATACGAATCAATGAGGATCCACATGAAAAATTAATACGGTAATTACGTTATTAATGTGTTCTGCTTGATCGAGAGAACAGTACCCTAGATTAGATCTAATCTTACTTGTAGATTAGATTCTCAAGTAAGAAAATGAAGTAGATAATTATTATCATTCTTAAGACTTCGATACAAACGTAAATTGTTTTATAAGAACATCGGAGTAAAAAAGAGAATTTATTTCTTCTGCTGAGAAATTTCTTATTAGTTACGGACTATTAAAAATATGTTATTTACCTCGTCTAATCATAGAAAAATGATATTTATTTAAGCCTTCCTGGTATCAAGAAATCATTTTTAATTACGTGAAGATATTTCTCGTAAAAGTAAGATAGATAAACGGCAGCGTACATAGATAAGTTTCTTAATATCGGTGCTTAGTCTTCGCAGAGTAAATAGTAAATATAATCCTGATATGTAGTTACTGATAAAGCGCCATTCAAATGATGTACAATGTGTCGATATTTAACAGGCAGTGGATGTTTTATTTTGTTAACCATTATTTGATCTTCATATTGATGAGACCGGAAGTAGCCTCAGTAGACCGTCATTCCCAGCTTGAAACGGCAAAACAAAAGAATGCACATTCGTGATGTCGCTGCATATATAACCTAATGATTGTTAACGGATATAACTATGTTAATGACCCTTATTTCGTTTCGTTACGGTAAATGTGTTTCTTTTCAGCGAGCTGAAAGCAGAAGTACAACGATTGCGCGGCGTTCGCGAAGGATACGAAAAGCAACTAGGAATTTGTCCCCGAAGACTTCTTGATTCCATTGAACTCAACAGCAATAATAATGACGAGGTCAAGCAGAAGCAACAAGAGATCGATAAATTGAAGGGCCAGCTAAAAAAAACCGAGGAACAACTTATGACCACTCAAATGTAAGCCAATCGGAATAGTCATCCAACTACCTCTCTTCTTTCTAATTTGATCAATCTATTACTAGAGAACCTTTATACAAGGTAAAAATTTTCCGAAGTAACAGCGAGTAGCAAAAGACAAGTAGAAATATGCATACACACATTATTCTTCTTTTACTATTTTATATTTTATTTTGAAGTTATTTGCAATTCAAGCTCTTTTGTATTCTACATATTTTCTTTGCATTTACATAATGCTAAACTGTATGTGTTTTCTATTATTTCCATAGACAATGTGACTTACACACAAGAAATAGTAAAACATTATATTGGTTTCTCATATCACTATAATTCTTTTGGCCCCGATTATAAAAATTCATAATTAAAACTGCGGAATAATATTTTAGTAATGCAATTTATAAATTAACACTAACAATTAGATGTTTTTCAAAGAGTATGGAATGGCACATGAAATCTCGGAGCAGCTGGTCGCTGAGAAATAACAAATTATGGATGAAAAGAAGTGGAATTTAGATATCTGTAATTACAGGACGTGGTCAAAAAAGCTGCAGGAGACGGAGCAGAGGAAAAATTCTGAATTAAAGTATTTACGTCGCTGTGGGATCGCCATCGAGATCGATTTTCAAGAAAAGGACAAACAGCCTTGTTTGATCAATCTTGCAGCTGATCCTATGTTGTCCGGTACGCTCTTGTACCTAATTCCTCCTGGATTGGTTCGCATCGGCAAAAATTCTAGAGCCGATGGGTCCCCCAAAAATTTGGATATCGTGTTGGATGGGCCCTTGGTTAGGCCTCTGCACTGGTTAGTTGCAGGACGTACACATTCTGCCAGTTGAATAGGATGCAAAGATCATTGGACTTATTCTATTTTTTCCATGTATTCTCGTTTTTCTTTCTGTTTGATACATTTTGCATACTTCATTGGTTGGTTGTATCCTGAGTTCTGGTGCTGGAGTTCATATTCTTCACTGTTGTTCTGTCTTGTCTACTTCTCTATCACAGTTGCATGTTCCCTATCCATTTTGTTAATATAACATTCTTCTAACAGCGATCCTGAGCATAACATTGAATAAATTGTAATTTTGCTAAGATCGTCGGATGTTCTTCTACATAACACACTTTTCTCCAAGCTTAATCATATTCTTTTTGTTTTCATCGGTTGATGAGGTACTTTCATGAGCGATTGTGATCACAATACTGTGTTCATAAGATTCCCAAGAAATGTGCACGCAACCAAGAATTTCTGTTATACATATATATCTTCTATTAATATTTATTATTTTAATACTTTATCTTGCGCATTTCTAATTTAATCGTTTTCTACATATTTAACAGCTCCATTCAGAACAGTAACGGGAAACTTCTACTGTGCACAGAAATGGATGGGGACACCTATGTCAATGGACAGGTATAACGTAATATATGCTAATTTATACAAACTATAAATCAAAACTGATCCTAAAATTGTTCCTTCGCAGATTGTAACTGGCAAAGTAATGCTCAAACATGGTGATCGTTTGGTGATAGGCGGCAATCATTACTTCAAAGTCTCAAATCCTCATGATGCACATAGCAACATTCAAATCTCCGCTCTAGCCGTAGACTATGAATTTGCATACCAAGAAATTCTTAAAGTGCAAGAGGAAAAGTAAGTGTTTTTGGCAACTTTCAAAAAATTTGTACTCAATTGACTACTTCCATATTTAAATATTTAATACACACTTATTATTATTTAATACATTATTTAATACACACGTATTTAAAGATTAAGAGCTGAACTTGAGGAAAGCAAACAAAAAGCTATCAAGGAATTAGAGTATGCTAAACGTGAAGTCGAATTACAATTAGGATCGCAAAAACAATCTTATGAACGCAAGATTGAAATGCTTGATTCTACGGTTGAAGAACAAAAGCTAGCATTACAACAGATTCATAAGAAAAAGAAGGAACTGGAACTAGAGAAAGAGTTGCTTGCAAACGAAGTTGAAATAAGTAATAGATTAAAACTGATACAATCTGAGCAAAAGAAAGTTACTGTTGCGCCATATAAGTCCAATTTTTTGGAAGAATTGGAGAATATATTGAGCGAGAAAACAGCAGATGCAGAGTACGCTCTTAAGATGACAGCGAGTACCGAAGCTATCAATGGTGGTGGTATAACTCTCCACGAAATGCAGCTACTGGTGAGAGAAGCTACCGAGCGATGTAAAGAAGTCGGACTAAATTACGTATGTATTCATTAATATAATACATTTGTTAAACAAAATAATACATCAATATGCATGAAAATAATTGGAGATTAAAATGCTCAAATCGATTATTCTATTGTAGGAATTCGATCAACAACAAGTAATTGTAAATAAGAGTCTCAGACCAGTGATTCGTATACGTAACAAAGACTGCATGAAAGAAACGCTATGGGAGCCAATGAAATTTTTAGATTGGGTTCATCGATTGCGAGATTACGATATAGAAGACTCCATCAAAGAATTGTGCACAACATTGGATGGGACTTGGGAACAGTACGAGAATACAGAAACTTTTGAAGATTCCTTGAACAGTAGTCGAATATCTATTAACATGACACCTGTGAAAAAACACTTGAATGAAAGCTTGCAGCAATTTTCTATGGACACAACAGTAATCGGTGCTATAGTCGACAATCAGACGTTAGACGATACTAAAGAACAGGAGAGTATAGACGGCTGTCTTGTACAAATGGAGCTTGCTGCAAAATCTTTACGAAGATTATGCGCGAAAAATTACGAAAATCAAATGGTTGCGGAATCTCTTGACATTATACAGAGTAATATTGACACTTTGCGTAAAGTATTAGAACCCCAAGTCATATATGAACGTACAAAGGAAAGTACAAATTACAGTCAAAATTGTGATAGTCCTGTACTACTTGAAAAGTCCCATAATTTAAATGTGACTCCTTTTCAAGATTCTCATAAGGATTACACTAAGTCTGTTGATTCTTCAACACGGTCTACTTTACTCAATAATAATAGAGTGTTCGATAAAATAATCCAAAAAAATGTGAAATTCGATGATAAATTAACAAAAGAACTAAACTAGTTTAATAAGGGATAATACTTAGATTAGTCGGATTTTTAGAGGGTATCATTTCTAAAAAAAATTGGATCAGCTCTGTGAATACCCTTACATGGATGGAAAATTTATAATAACGTAGAAGCTGTACAAGCTAGTTGAGACGTTAAATAATTCTAAAAAGACAACGCAATTGAAAATGAATCGCACCATTTTATTTTCGATAACTTGTATATTTACCTATAGGAAAGACTTTCTATTGTCTAATATAAGATATAGAGTGATATTTCTAACGTTACAAATTACATTAATTATTTCTTTATATTTTTATATAGTTAGTTTTTGTATACTTTGTATAATAATTGCACAATAATAAAAAAAATCTGTAACATGTACACACATGCAAGATATAGTTCACACATTATTTAGTGCATTACTGATTTCACAGGGCTATGGAAATATGACAGCAATATAATTTCACTAAAGCCAACTCAAAGGTACAGTTAATCGAAATAATCTTCGATATCAATATCAGGATTTAATAAGTCTTCGCCATAACTACTTATATCCAATTGATTTAATATTAAGTTCTCACACATTTCTTCCAAGTCAGTGTCTCCAATCAACACTGCTCCTTGCATTTTGCCATTTTCTAGTATTAGTTTTATGTATTCATTCCCTTTAGTCATACGCAATAGAATTTCGTACTTATTGTTTAGTTTTTGACCATTATACAGACCAAGCAAAACAACTTTGTAGCCAAAAAATTTTGTTACATGAGTGAAAAGTTCAAAACAAAAATCTTGCAAAAAATCTTCATTTTTCAAAGCAGAAACCATAGATTTTGCTGCATAACGTCCCATTTGAAGAGCCTGCGTCCACAGTCTCATCTGGAACCAATGCTTTGCTAATTCCCAGTCTGCACTGCATACATCTCCTGCAGCATATATATGTTGCTCTGAGGTTTCTAGTTTCCAATCTACTAATATTCCTCCATCATCTCCTTTCTTGAGTCCCTCTAAACCCTCTATATTGGAGTTTGGTATTACACCTGTCGCTGACACAATAAAATCACACCCAATAATTTTTCCATTTGTTAATTCAACATACACAGGCCACTCCTCTGAAGGATCAAATTCTTTTTTCTCCGAGTCAGTAAGAATTTTTACTATTTCACATTCGTATTCAACTTGTATTTTTGCAGATTTGAAGGCAGTACCTTTTATTTCAATATTATTATGCCAGTTTGGTCCTAAAGCTGGTCCATCTTTTACAAGTTTTGTATCAGATATTGTGTATCTCATTGTCTTAGTTATAGTGCTCGCCCGAATGTTTGAATCTGCATTCGTTCTGTGCACTTTATCCATGAAAAATTCCGCAGCTCCAGGATCAACAAATGTTGCAGAAATATGCTTATCTTTGATTACCCATATTATTTCAATATCATCAATCTCATGTGCAATCTCAGTGGCAATACCACCATTTCCGACTATTACTATTTTTCGTGAATTCTTAATTCTTTGAGAAAATTGAACAACTGATTCAGTATCCCGAATTCCTAAAATAAAATCGTTATTCTGTGCTATAAGTCTTGGTCTAGCACCGTTGCAAAGGCATAGCTTTTTGTAAGTTATGATTCTCCCATTTTTTGTGAGCACACATTTATTTATTGTATTAACTTTTACAGCAAAATCATGAATAATTTGTATTGAATCATTTGCTTTTGTTAGAGATGTTGCGTCCTTTTCTTCCACATTAAATTGCATTAGTGTTTTACCAAGAGGGACTACATTTGTAACTGCTTTTATCAAAGGGCTAGCTGTAATTAAAACAGTATCTTCCTTAGGAGAAAGAAAACCTATACCTTCAGCACAAGAAACCCCAGCAATACCTCCTCCTATTATTAAAAATGTACAATTTATTTCTCTTTCACCCATCATACTATAACTCTTAAAATATAATGTGTCCAACAAGTTTATTTTTCATGTTTCCACTCATAGTAATTATAATATTTGAATGGAACACCAAATGTAAGCAATCCGTAGTCCCTTGCTTTAAGTATAGCAACTAGCAGTTTGTTGTGAGCATTCTGGCACAGACCAGTTTTCCTGATTTAATAAAAACGAAAAATAAATAAAATATACATGTAAGTGTTCTATATTTCATCAAATCATAAGAAATAGAAACTTACGTGTAACATATGATCTCTCCACTATGTTCACAAATAAATTGTTTCAACAACTCAACATTACGATAATCAACTATCAGGTATTCATCTCTGCATATTGGACAAGGACTACTAGTAGAAATTACACTATTCCTCTGAAAGAAAGATGTAGAACATAAGGTAAAAAAACTATTATTAATTTTAATTGAATTTAACATGTGCTTACAATACAAGTTCTTCGTGTCTTTCGCGGTGGGAATTGTCCCTTAAAGTTTCGTTTATAAAACTTCCAAACAGGGAAATTTTGGTAGGTTTGCTTATATGCTAAAATAATATTTTTATAAATACATTTGAAATGTGCAATTTCATATGATTTAAAGAAAATTACCCTTGCTTTGTAAATATTCTATACTAGTTTCGACTGGAATTATTTGACTTCGATCTTTTGATAGAGAACTCTGCTCTTCGACAGCTTTTTCTTCGTCGAATAGTACAAACGAAGAATGCAAAGATCTTACAGGTATAACCTAGAAAAACAATTTATAAGATTATAACGAATTTAATGTGATTATTCTATTTGTTCTTACTTTTTTTGTTAAACTGTTTCGGAAAATTGAGCCAGCTAACTGGAAACTATTTAATATTAATGACATTATTTTTCTTATAGTGTAAATCTTCTCAAAATTCGAATGCACATCTATTCATGCAATATATGTACATGTGTACACATACATATAAGTGTGGAAGACCGACTATCTCACTGTACGTACATTTTTGAAAACATACATTCTAATATAAATTGTTTCACATGTACAATGTATTTTAAAGTCCTAATTATTACACGTTGTTACATTTTTTATTTATTTTCACTTATATTTCAAAAGTTTATCTATGAAAGTGTCGCGAGTTTAGTATTTGAATGTTATCAAGTTCTGAACTTTTATAAATATAATACAAATTTTGTATTCATATGAAAAGATTTATATTGTATGAAATATAACATGTAATAGATACATACTTCATTGCATTTGTTTTTATAAATGTTGCTGATTTGATGAGGAAATTAAGTACAGCACACCGGAAGCTACTTCGAAGATGTTTGAAATACTTCTTTGCATTGAACTTTGTTCTTATTTTAACAATTACAAGCAATTAAATAAAGAATATTTAGCTTTTTATTATAATGCATGTAACATTAACGGTAGCAGGTAATTGTATAATATAGTATGCGTGAAACAAATAGACATTTGACTCATTTCAAGAGAATAGGATGTTTCCGGTTCGGACGTAACAGCAGATTCTACGTAGTTAGGTGAGGATAATTTTACTCTAGTTAAAAGTAAATGTTGGAATTGTTTGACAAGATATTACAAGAAAATCAACAATAAGGTAATAAAAGTAAAATTTAAACAATGTTTGATTGCAGATGGCAGATCGGCAGGAAGATTCTTGCGGATTCTGGACAATCTTATAGTATTTGCCGAATGCGTTGTCCATTTTCAACGAACCATAGGGCTGCATCGTTTTCGTGTATAAGAAATGCACAATTTCTTATGCACCGCTGTGAACATTTATTTTCCATAAAAAGGATTTAATTGTTAATCAAATGTGAGTGGCTTTTCTGTCGTTCAAAAAAGCCGAAGCCTTATATTCTTTTTTAACACCGTTTAATTTTGGAATGATTGTTAGGGGGTGGTACAGTTCTTTTATTCTTTACGCATTACGACACTCGTAAGCAAAAATCCATGGTAATGGATATAATAAAAGATAGAAGGGATTTAATTCACAAAGCATTAGAGGCCTACAGAAAGGTGAAATAATTAATACATTAGTGACGTAACATCATGGACATATTGTCGGATCTGTCGAGCTTCTGTACTAGTTAATTGCATGCAAGATATATGTTACATTTCGAAATTGTACGTGTGGTAACAAGAGATAATGATCTAAAAGTGTTAGTGACAGTATATGCATAAGAAAATTTTACACCTCGGTATAAAAAGAATTTTGATGCAGCACAAATGGACGATCATGGTGTGCTATAAATAGAAGTTGCTTGGTGATGATGTCAAGTGATGGGGTGGGGTCGTGGCAATTATTGGTCGACGTTGAAAGAGTTTCGAGACACGATTGGTCGATTGTATAATCATTCTGGGTGGGATATGCGCGGAAGTATTGCGCAGGAAGGAATCTGCCAGTTGACCATCGGGTGAGCACCGTTGACTGGAGGAGCTTACATCTCGTATCGATAATTTTCGTATTTGTAGCTTTCAATTGCTTAATTCTAGTATTCGAAGTTCTTCCTCGTTAGGGAATGAATAATAGCGCAAATTAAATAGGCGAAAGATTCGGTACGAAAGTCTTTTCGACAATTGCCGTTTCAGATCCGCGACATTAACGATTTTTGAACAGTATAATGAAAGAACGATGAGGATAGAAAAGCGTCTGAAGAGATTAGTAATCGCGAGCGATTTCGGGTGAAAGTATATTGTAGACCTAGGTAAATCATTTGGTTATGAAAGTAATTTTTTTAAAATTTCTTTCATCCGTAGAACGTACAAGGTTTTCTTACCTATCTCTTTATGTTCGTGAGAATGTTCGACAATATGGCGATATAACGCGTTACGCACGGCCTTCGACAAACTTACCGTTACGATTTCTACCCACAAAAAAAAACCCGAGTATCTTTGTGTTTTATTACAGATTTACGACATGATCCTATGTTTGTACTTCGATATGCGCTAGATCGTCCAGAATAACATCAAAATGGTAAGTCGAATTTATTAAAATTAATTTACTTTCCTTGTGCTTCGCGAGTTTTTTAAGAGAGGGCGCCATGTACTTAGAATTGCAGTGACTGTCAAGTGTGGGGAGAGAGCGGTAGGATCAATAACCTTCACTTAACATGACCTCGTATCCTATTTCTGGCATCGCGAACTTTCAATGATCGTACAATACGAATATTTTGGTAGTGCAATGTTGGTTTTTCTAAAATTTATTTAATATGCACTTATGATACTCACGTCTGAGTATTGAAATGGGGAAGGTAATCGATCCTAATGCTTCTGAATTAGTTTCCATTTCTACGCAATATTTGTTTTAGTTCTTTACGATCGAAAGTTTTACTGGTTCATTTAATTCATGCAATGCTTACGTAATATACGATTTCTAATTTATATAATAACTTTCTGTGCATTTAAAATTTATATAAAATTTTATGCTTTTTAGTAGAGGTTAAATTTAAATAATTAATGTTACGAGTCTTTTAATCAGTAATTCTATGTAAAAACTTTCTGTTGTCTTAAGTGAACTCAAGTATTGAATTGGTGTACGGTATAACGTAATTTTCTGAAATATTAATGAAGTAGGATTTTTTCAAAATAGTAGTTGTCTGATAAACAAAGAAATATTTAAGATTGTGCATATATTTTTCAGCCACGTATAGATCCTCTTTCTTTACTAAAATGTCTTAGTGTTTTACTGGGGCCAACTGGAGGTATTAAAAGTAAAGAAGAAGTTCATCGGTTAGCCAATTTAATGACAAAGTTCTCGAAAAAGCTTGTTTCAAAATGCATATACATACAAATATTGAAAACTACAAACACGGATTTACTTAGTCAGTGAGTATAAATTTCAATTTCATAATATTTCAAATTAATATAATATATAAAATGGAATTTATTTTGCATGGAGACACACACGGGTACTCATTATTTGTATTACTGTGTGAATAAAATGCATGCTAAAGTAAAGATACAGGAACTCTGAACCATTGGACGGTTGAACATATAGACCGTACTCACTGATGCGAGTCCCACAAGCTACAGTTATAATACGTTCTATTACCAAATCTTTGAAGAATGTATTGCATTATGGGATAGCTTAAAACTTGGACTATTTCATGTGTTTTTAGATTTATGGGTGCTGGAGGCTGGAATCTCATTCACATGTGGCTTACAGATGGTATTCTTGCAAAAAATTGGGCTCTCATTCAAGAACTACTTGAACTTCTACTGTTATGTCCAGTAGATATTGAAAGATTAAAAAGCAACAATTGTCCAAAGTTGATCAAGGGGCTGTCAAAAGAAGGTAGTCATCAGGGGGTCAGAGTTCTGGCAAGTCGATTGGTAGAACAATGGCTGAAAATAGTGAAGGGAGAAGCTGCTCCGAATTCTGTGCCAGCACAAATCATGACTGTCCCAGTGCAAAACTCTGGAACTCTCGGAGCGAATATTGTATCAGTGCAGCAGCAACAGCAACAGTATTCCATTCAATGTGGTATTCAGCAAGTTTCTGATGGCACAGAAAGTGCAACAGTGCATGTGCAGGATCTACAGTTTACTTCGAATTCCTCGCCATCTATTGCAGTATCTCACATTCAGCAGCAGCCACAAATACAAGAACAACACCAGACACAAGAAAGGACAACCGTGCAACCCTTGCAACTGCAGGTTGTTAGCAAACCTCAGCAAGTGCAAATTCAACAGCAATTATCTTCACAGCAATCGAAAAAGCCAGCATTTGTTGTGGTATCTACATCTTCACAATCTCCAATTCCTGTGTATAAGATTACGATTCGTGAAGGCAAACAGATTCTCACAAAAGTGGAGCCTGATGCTGCGAATATTAGTAGTGTTTTAAATGCGAATAGTACAAATGTAGAAATTAATGGAGATGTAGATGACTCGCTTTCTGTGAAGGAGATAACAGAGGGAGTAGAGTCTACAGAACTCAGTGATGGTGTAGTCAGTGGTCAAGACTGTAAAACGGATATTGTAGAATCTGAAAAATTAGACCAAGATTCGAGTGAAGTGAAACAGACTGTAATAGATTCCACGGACACTGGCGACGTGGACGTTGTTAAAAGTAAAGAAAATAAAGACTCTAAAGACACTGTTAGTAGTGAAAGTAGTAAATCTAGTAATAAAGAAAATCGGGACTCTTCGAGAAAAGATGAGAAAAAGTCTAGTAGTTCAGACAAGAAAAATCATCATAGTTCTTCATCCTCCAAAAGTTCTTCTAAGCATACCTCGAGTTCCAGTTCGCATCGTTCTAGTTCCACATCAAAGTCTAGTAGTCATCGTTCTAGTTCTAGTAGTAGTAGTTCAAAAAGCTCTAGTTCCAAGGATAAGTCTTCCAAGGACAAGGACAGGCATCATTCATCCAATTCATCCAGTAAACATAGCAGCTCCAGTAAAAGTAAATCTGACAAGGAAAAAGAGAAAGAAAAGCAGAAGAAGGACCAAGCAGAGAAAGATAAAGCAACATTGGAGAAAGTGCAAGGGCAGGCTTTGAGCTCCAAGTTGGGAAAAATACCGAAAAAGAAGTCTGAAGAAGAGAAATCAGGGGATGCGGCTGTAAGGAAGTCGTCTACGGATTCTAGGGACAGCTCTAAAGAAAATAAGACTGATTCGAAGAAAGTTGCTGCAATCCCGGAGAAGAAAAATATTTCTATTTCTATCGAGAGTAGGAAAAATTCTCAGGATTCTACGACACGGCCAAAGACTGTGAAAACGTTTAACTCCAAATTCAGGTCTACCGGCTTAGAGGAAGAAGTAAAACCTCCACCACCAAGATCAGCAAAAAAACCAAATCCTATCATTGAGAAAAAGGTCATACCGCAAAAATTACCTGCTCTGAAGAGGCCGTCCCCGCTTAGAGAAGCTATCCCAACAGCAGATAAACGGGCTAAGTTATCTTTGGACTCACCAACCACACCTCCAGGCGAAGAAAAGAAGGGAGGCATTAAGTTGATACCACCAAAACCAAAACGTAAGTATCATTCAGTCTTTCAAATACTATGCTTAAAAATTTCCTTTTACAATTTACACATATATATTTTTTTAATTATTAAATTCTTTAGGGAAAAAGGAATGTATCTTAAAAATCTTGTTTCACACTGATGTTCTGAGACTAAATAATTTCACGATATTTTCTCTTTATGCATATGAACGTGCCCATTTGATACAAAATTTTAGAATGATAAAATTTGTTCAGGTGTAATTTAACAATATATCATCTTATAATGAAAGTACTTATAGAAACTTTTTATTTTTTATGATATAAAAGAAGAGAGTATGCACTGCAATTCAATGTCAATGTATATTTAGTATAATTAATATAATAGCTAAAACAATACTAATATTGTAGATGTAAATCATGAAAAGTAGAAAGTCTGTAAAATCTGTTTTCAATCTTAATAGTTGGTAGTCTTTGAACATCAGTTTTCTCTATTACAAGTGCTACTACTAACTTCTTAATATTGAGTTTGCAGGTGGATGGCTCCAGGAGAAAGATGAGCAAACTATAATAACTTATATATTTTCTATATATTGCGCAAGCATTGATATTTTACAATTGACGGTACTCGTGCAGTTTTTACTTCTTTTATTAACGCAGAATTTCTTCCAGGCCACAGTTACATTAGTTTATATTATCATACAATAGAACCCTGTCTGTATTACATTCCTAAAAATTATTAGAGCTTATAGAAGGTAAAAGAAAACCTGTATCGCACGAGCCACGTGGAAGTGGATCGAAAATGGATCGCACGTGCCTTGTCCTGATAATTAATCGTCGTGTTAGAAGAACGAAGACAATTAGGATCGTCTCTTTGAGCGTCGATTTATTTCCTATATTAAGAAGATTCAGCAGGTAATCTTCGTTATTAACTAAATCGTACGTATCGGAAACTTTTCAATAAAATCTAGTGCCCGGAGTGTGGTTACGGAAAATTACGTTAATTAAAACGTAGACTTTATCTCGGCTAAGCAACATTCAAGAAATCGCGGCAGTTTCTTCGATTGGTAATTTTATTCTGAATTTTTTTAAATTTTTGTTCTTGCATAAAATTAAAAAGCCGTGTGTTGTTATGCGATAGAATTTTCGGGGTGTGTGTTTCTGTACCGTTCATCGACGAACGATACACCGAATAGAAGTCACCAACCGGATATTACTAATCTACTTAGGTAAGGAGACAATGCCAAACTCTTGTCTGTCCATACTTCTTCCCTTGTACATGTACACCCTATTAAGCATTTTAAATAAATTGATCAGAAATCTGGAAATATTTAACTCTTGGGTTTCTGCTATACATCTCGCTCACTTGAATGCTTGATCAAAGCAAACACTCATACCGTGGGCCCATCCAGATTTCCATCCTCTCGGTGACTAATCGCACAAACCGGAAGTGCAAGACTATACGTTGGCCCGCTCAAAATGATGTCGTTCATCCAGATCCGCTTTTACGTAACGCTGGAAGTAAATCGCGATTATTAGTACATGAGTGGCAATTGTTGCATGCATATTTTAATTATCATTACTTTCTTATAAATGCACGACGACGCGGAGCGTTGTCCCTGTGCTTGGTCCTTAGACTGCATTTTAGATTTCCTTTAGGCCTCCCTCTTGCCCAACGCTATCACATTCGACTAGCAATTAAGAAGATGCGCTGGACGCTATGACATCATTTCGAACGGTGCCGCACAAGGGAAAAGAATTCTTTTAAGCGTTATTTTCAAATTTGTATTTGTTGTTTAGTTCACAGTGGATTTGCAGAATCATTCGAATACGTTCGTGCGTTCATCAGAGAGAATTGAAATTTGTTTCGGGCGCATCAGTCCCGAGATATCCTTGTGAAAGCGAGAAAGAATGTTGATGATGAGAGCTTGCTAGAAAGATAGAGAGAAAGGGGAAAAGAGAGTGCGAAAGAACGATGGAGAGAGAGAGAGAGAGAGAGAGACCGTGCGCGTGTGAGATAGATTAGAGAGAAAGTGGGAGCGCGAGAGACAGGGAGAAAGCAAAGTAGTGTGTTTCGGATGAGTAAATGAAAAAAACGAGTGGAGAAAAGAAAGATATGTGGCACGACGTTTGGAGGAAGTTCAATTTGAGAGAAATAAGTATGGAATCTCGTGGATGAAAAGCACTTCTGAAACATGCATGAAATCCGATGCTGCGTATCGACTTGGCGACCTCGAGCAAGCCGCCCCTTAGGATCAACGGGCCTCTTCTTACACGACATGTAATCGTCTATTTCCGGTGACGACGTCGACACGGCGAAGAAGTTACCTTCCTTGCCAGTGGTCGCGGATTTCGCAATCAGGGGTGGAAAAGGGAACATTTATTGGAAAGCATAGAGAGAGCAAGACATGGGAAATAGAAACGATATAATCGTAGTTGTCTTTCACGCAGCTTAAAAAAGTGGTCCTTTCAAATACCGTTCTGTAGAACTGAGTACTTTAATAACGCAGAGAATCGCGTTCATTTGACTTGGAATACAGCTGAAAAGAGACTTTTCGAAACAGAGAAAAGAACAGCTCATAAGTTTCCTCGAGAAAGTATAATTTACGCTCAGGCTATTTTTTCATGAAAAAAGTTCAGTACTATGATAATTCTCCGTAACCGATCCGCCTTAGCTATCGTGCAGCGCAGTTACAGAAAAAGAGGTACGCGGCTAAGATTCTTTGCTTAAAACAAGCTGCAACCGAGAGAAATTGTATAATCTCGTGTAAATATCTTTTTGAATTCAAGGACTCGCGCTGTTTCGTCCGCCGAGAAAGACTGGATTTGAGAATTGCCGGTTCGAATTAGACGCGAGAGGAAGGATGGACGGGAATTACGAGACGGAGTTGCGCAACGACGCACTTTTCCGCTCCACTCCGCGCGGAATGAGCCGGGGGCCGATGTTTTTGCGACGGTGTCCGCGCCTGCAATCGCGTACGGAGATCCCAGTCTCTCTGTTTCCCGTAGCAGTTGAATTACGCTACACGCGTGATGTATTAACCGTTCAACGTATTCACATCCGCGGCGCAACGCGAGAGAACACGTTATTCTATCGTTATGCGGTCCCTGATCCTCCCGTTTGAATTTCGAACAGGGATTCGAACGTGATTTAAAACTCTCCGCGCGCGCACCCGTAGCTCTACTGTTAAAGCTACTTACCATCCAACCAAACGTTTTGTTACTGTTTTTTCAATTACTTATATAGAAAATAGAAGCTTTACAGTAGTCGAGATAATGAATGATTTTGCATAAATTTTTATATTTTGTTGATTGTATTATGAAAGAGATGATTCTTTTTTTAATTTACGAAATAGAAACACATTAACTCGTTCCTATGCAATTTGAGATAGTATTATCTGAAATTAAGAGCTATTTTCATTTTCATTGATTTTTATATTTCTTGCTGATTGTATGATGAAAGAAGGATTTGAAGTAGTCCTGTTAAGTTCGATGTACTGAAATATATAGATTTGATATTTGTAAATTATTTCTTGTACACATTTAGCGTCGTTTAATTATAATCTGTGTACTCGTATTTGTTTAGATGACTATAAAGTTCTTGAATTGTTTAACGTTCGAGATAATCGAACATGACAATACTAAAATGGAAGGAAAGAAACGTACCTGTTTTTATAGCAATATACTGTCGAAAGAATTTGCGTAAATTTGCTGTTTGTGCTAGCATTTGATGGCACAATTAAATTGCAGAAAAGGGTCCTTTGATAAGATATTCCACGAAAAGTGATATTGAAAAAGCAAGTACGCTACTATTATTACATAAAGAAATGCGCTAAGGGTACACTCAATGATTTGCATCGCGTTTAGAGCAAAGTAAACGTAACTATAACTCTAGAGAGCTTGATGGAAATAAAATTGGAGCCGTACAATGAAACCCGTATATTATTCCCCAGTTTATTATTATCACTTGTCGAATTCGTTAAAAAAAGAACACTTATACACGATTATCTTGTGACACATTATCCATTGATAAATCGTGCTTTTGACACTTTCCGTGCATAACAATGGTTCTCGTTATTGTTGCGCATCATTTGAACTCTCAAGGAACGTCGTAAAAAAAGAGTTTGCCGATTGAAACGATTTCGTCCTCGTATATTGATTTTAAATTTTCCCAAAACGATCTATTTGAATTTTGACTGACGTAGAAACAGAGATTTACCGCAGAGATAGATGAAGAGAACAAAATTCACGAGAAAAGTTTGGAGATATTATCGATTATTGATTGAATTATACAAGAAACTCATTGTTTCCGTTATCGAAACGTAGTCGTGAAGACACAGCTGCAATTTGCACAGCAATTAATACATTGATAATGAAGTAATCGTGTAAAGTTAAACCGATATACGTATCGAGACGTTTTGGTACGATCTAGCTCCTTCTTCTTTTCTTCTTGGAGTCGATCTCCATATACGATCAATAGCGTCAACAGCCAAGAAAATCGGATAGATATTGTATTAAATGGATTCACGTTTTCTGGATCGATGTTTACCGTTCTTATTACTCGCGTGTCCAAGAGCTTTGAACAAACAGACCCTATTGTAAACACGCGCGCATTATTTATATCATTATTTCGCGTCCAGTTCAAAACTTGGAACATTCTATTTGCCATTCGTCACGGAAATCGTGTAATAGGACAGTATTTCGCATCCGAATGCATAATTACGCAATAGCCGAATTTAACTTCGGCATTGAGTGCAGTTACTCTGGATCGCGTCACCGACTCTCGCTTTCTTTTTATTTTTAAAGATTCACTTTCTTGATGAATTGATATATTATCATGTCTTCGTTCTTCTACATTTTGAAGCGTCGCTTTCTCCAATTTTTTTAAAAGCAATGATTATCTTTACCGTTATTTACAGGCTTTTCGTTTCGTCCTGGACGCGTTTGATGGAATGAAAAAATGTTTTTTTTTCAGAGTTCTTGCAGATTGCCATCCACCAGTCATTGTTGTTTAAATGTACAATTTAAATGATTTTTTGCAGATTTAAGCGAACATTAAAGAGTCATATTCCAGATGATTCCAAACTTCAGCGTGTCGCATTCGAATTTAAAAGGATTGTAAATGCAAACTGTTTTTGTCGTTTTAGACAAAATGAAATTTTTTAAACAAGATTGGTACATTTCGTTTTGATACATACAGCTGTTTTTACTATTAATTAATGACTTGTGGTCCTTAAAATTCGAGTGATTCATGCAGTGTCGGTTTTTAATTGTATAATTGAAGTAACAGATAAATGTGTTCCATTTTATTTTTATTCTGACTATAAGCGTGTTTAAATTGTTTTTCCAGCAATGATATTGCAAGAAAGCGATATGTTTATGGATGCTCTGACGGCGTCAACGAAGAGCAAAGAACCGCGGAAGAGGAAACGTAGAACCTCGATTACAAAGGACGGTCCCACGGAAGCCAAGAAACAGGAGACTGCCATTAACGATAATCGAGATGTTACACCTCCACCCACCTCACCACCAAGTGCCGATGAAAAATCACCTATAGTTGTCAAGCCTAACTTTAAGGTACGTTGTAGTACTCGACTAAATTTATTAGAATAATTTGAAAAGAGTTAATTAAGAATATTGTTTCTTTACAGTTTTATCAGGATACTCTTGAAACAGATGAGGACAAGGAAAAGGAGAAAGATAATTCGGATGACGAAGGTAGAAAAGAGAAAGAGGAGGCGGACGACCAGAAAGAGAATATGATATTCAAATCGGATATTGATGACGAGACTGGAAGTAACAGTAAGATTTTTAATTTTATTTTATTAATGTACCTTATTATTATACTGACTTATTTCTAATATTGCGTATTACTCATCAGCGCCGACGCCCGAAGACGATATGGATGAGAAAACTTCCGATTCGCCGGAAGATTCTTCCGTATCCGATTCATCGAAAAAAGAAAACGCTGGTTCTTATCCGGAAATCCGTTATGTCGACGGACTGAGGAGCGTTTTGCTGCATCAGAAACGCAAAGGCCCGAAGAAAGTACTGAAATGGAAAACGGACTTGGAATCGGTGCGTTATTTCGAGTTGGACGAGACGGAAAGGGTAAATGTGACGAAAACGTTCACCGATATGAAACAAATGGAGAAACAGAACGAAAGAGAAGCATTCCAGATGGCCAGAAAATTAAGTGAGTCGTCGGGCTATGAATTTAATGATATTTTATAATTATAGTGTTGAATTTAATAATAATAAAATTAATGATATACGCGAATCCACAGGTAACGAGGACTTGATGGAAGAAAGAACGAGATGGAAACCTTTAATTTCGATCGATCTACCTCCAGCCTTGGTAGAATCTGGAAAAGATAGCAGAGAAAAAGATATCCAATATGCTCGGGAGAAAGGCATTTTACAAGCATTATACTTCAACCGGAGCATGTAAGAACTGATTTTTAGAACTGCATACTAGATATTAATTATTATCTTTAACGAATATTTATTTAAAATATTTTTAAATATATACTCCGCATGTAGACACACGCGAGCATTATTGATTTTTGTGGTCGCGTGAATTATACTGTACATGCTACATTAAACAATTAGGAACTCCGAACCATTGAACGGTTTCACACATGAATCGTACTCTCTGATGCGAGTCTCACATAATATATTTTTGTTAGTAATTGTTGTCCTATAAAAAATGATAATAATTTACAAATGCGTTTTGATTACAGGATCCCAGACTCTGCGGCAGAACCTGACGAAGAACGCCATCATGTATATAGCGATCCAAAAATCATTCCTTTAGATGATCTCACCGGAAACAAGGAAAGTGAGAAAGACTTTACTTCCATGGCGTGGCCAGAACCGAAACCGCAGTTACAACCTCCAGTACCAGCAGTTTCAAACTTCCATTATCCAACGTTCTCCCATAACCAACAGCCAGTCATGACGCCTATGGGTCCTCCAACGACGATGGGTCCAATGCCTCAAATGTCTCAACAAATGATGGGACCTGCTCACATGGGACCGTTAGGACCTGAAATGGGTGGACCAATGCCTGCGGGAGGCGGAGGCTGGAGAACGGGAGATGGAAAAGTTGTTGTACCTGATGGCATGGGTATGAACCCTATGGGGAATATGCCTAACGCGTTTCCACCAGGTATGGAGGGTGGTCCGATGGTACCGCCTGGAATGATGGGACCACCACCTATGTACAATCAACAACAAGAGGGCTATGGAATGATGGGACCGGAAGATATGGGCTTCAATAATATGAATCCAAACAACTTCCAAGGCCCACCGGGTCCCATGTACGGACCTGGGCCGAACTTTCAAGGTCCTAGAGGTGGTGGCCCAATGCATGGTAGAGGTAGAGGAGTACCTGGGCCTGGTTGGTACAGAGGTGGTGGGGGACCACCTGGAAGAGGTGGATGGAGAGGTGGTGGTGGCGGATGGAGGGGAAGTGGGAAACAGCCGCCGGTGTGCAGACAATTTTCAAAGAATGGCTACTGTCGAGTCGGTGATAAGTGTCAATACCTTCATCCCGGAGTAAACTGTCCGCCATTTTGAGAGGTGTTCAAATAACCCAGGAATCGACTACAATTTCGCAGTAAAGTGATATAAGCATTCATTCTATGCGAAGGAACTTTTTAGAATGGATGATCGTATAGAGATAAGAACGTTGTTCAATCGAGAGACACGCGTCGGACGCGATAATCAATAATAATGTGCAATTTTTTAATAACAATGCTATCAAAGAAATTTGAATGCATCAAATAAGATTTGTACAGTTATATTTTCACGAATTCAAATGATACTCTAATAATTCTCGATTTGTTTGGATTAAGTTATGTAGGAGGTAAAATATTATTGAATACTACATGACAAATTTATTTACTCGCCAACATCATCGGCAGAGGATTTCATTAACAGAAACTGCTTAAAATTTTTAATGAAAATGTAAAAAGAATGATATATAGGTTCATCGGCTGCTGGACGGCGAGAGGTTCCTACGATACATTGCATTTTATTATAATTTGGTAGAAGATCGCAACTTTAAAACAACTGAAAAAATACTACAAATTTTTATTACGTCTTCCTTTTACGTTCACGGTATACAGACAGTAGCCACTGCCGAGAATATGTTGAAATAAAAATAATTGGCATGACAACTAGTGATTTCAACGTGTGTGACGTTATGGATTAAAAAGTGTAAAATTCCAATTTAATGAGCATTTGTCTTGCGAGATTGTCAGATGGGTGTACACTCGCTTTTTACTAATGACAACAAATCTGTGTGATCGAGGTTGCTATTAAGACGAATTACGCGTAATATACAACAGAACATTGTAACACCAAAAGTTCAAATAACAAGTTAAATAACTTTTTATTAACTTAAGATGTCTCACATTTAGTCGTATATGTAGATCTATTGTAAATATCATAATTGTATCATTTTGTATAAAAAATGTCGCTAGTTCTAATAACAAGAGACTGTTTTAGGCTTAAATGGTATGTAATAATATAAAAAGGATGGCAACAATTTTTAGTAAAAACTGTGTACGTATAATTTAATGAAGTGATCCGTGATCTATAGAGCGCATTTTCGGTGATTCGTTGAATTTGCGTTCCATGATAACGGATGGCCGATACACTATTATTGTATTAAATATTTTTTACGAATTGAAGGTAGTGGTTATTTTTTGTATATGATTGATCGTTACGTTTGTATATAACATTGATTGTTGTATAAGAGCTGCTTGATGGAATATATAAATCAATAATTATTTTCTAAAAAAACATGCTGCATTAATATACCAACACAGAAAGGCTCCCTTTCATTTTATTGTCATTCTACATCATTTTTAAATCTTCCTTTTCATCTTTCGACTTTTATACAAAATCTGTGTTTTCTTTTTTATGTTTTATTGTTATATTCTCCATATATTTCTTATGTTCGGCAGAGTTTACAATTATTCATGTTCTATAAAAATTATGAGTACATTGTATTATGTAAAATTAATTAAAGGAAGAACATATACCAGTATTAAATATATATTTATTGTATATGAACTAAATATATTCATAATTTACTATATACATATAAAGTACATACATTTTATATTTTAATTTCAATGTGCACGTAATGAAATGTTTATGCATAACAGTCATTCATAAAATCGAATAATGTCACCTCACCGAAATTTAACTATATAATTATGAAATATGTAGTAATCAATTTAATATTTGACTAACTTTATTTAAATTGCTGTGGTGGAGGACCAAAGATGCTTCCACTTTGTTTGCTTGCAGTTCTGGATGGTGCAAATCCAAGCATTTTTTGAATATTCTGTAAATAATGTCTCCACTAAATAATTTTGTTTTAACAAGGAATATTATATACAATAATATGTACCTGTCTTATGCTCATTGTACAAAGTATGTAAAGGAAGATAAATGAACATTCTGTGTAATCATCGCCAGGAAGGTTCCTATGTGACAAACCTTGTATCCAACTGATCGGAATAAAAGGCAACCTTGCCACAACTCTGCCATCGAAAATGCTGTTAAACATACTCAAAAGAGCTGTGAATGCAAATCCAATTGCAAACATTGATTTCATTTTCACAAGAGACAAGTCCCTATTGTTGTTTTTTAATCTCTCCTCCTCTCGTTCTATCTTTTTCTTTTGCTGTTTGTCCAATGAATCGCCATGCGCCTCTTTTATCTTTTCCACTAAAATCAATTTTATTCAACAATTTAAACACACGAATAAACAATTCGCTCAGGTTTTTCTGGAACCACTTTGCAATTAATATTATCACTTAAAAACTTACACTTTTTACTTTGTTTCTCCACCTCAGCCTTCAATTTTTGATACTTTTCTGTTCGATAAACCATTAGCCATGTTAAACCTATAAACATTGAAAATTATATCGAAAAACAATAACGATAAAATATGAAGCATAACCTTAATTAGAATAACGCAAAAATGCTTGTAATTCCACACCTTCTCCTAGCAAAGCAGTGCAAATACTGATAAACACTATTAAAATAGTATCTGCCCACATATTAAACAAACTATTTACTAAATATTGCTTAAGTTATTCAGACATGCAATGCATGTATTGCTGCGTTGGAATTCCGACTCATGTTAAGCCTGGAACAGCTGTGAATGGGTACAGAATTCATTTGTGAATGCATTCAAAAATAATAATAACAATAATCAAAAGAACTTCTTATTTATATGGAATATCAAGAAAGAAACAATGTGTATGGTAGAAAAGAAATAATTTCCTTGAAGACATGAGATTTTGTTATAAAGACTTTATTTCACAATAAATATTCCTTGTGTTATTTAATCATTTTATTTGTCGTTATCTCTCTTCTAAAACTATGTTGATAAACAATTTTATTTTTAACACATAACTGTAAAAAGGTACAATATATACATACGACGTGATAATTGTTACAAATGAGTCCTTGCACGAAAACAGTTTTTGACACGACATGCACATAATTATTCAATATTTCCGATGTAATTTAAAATACTGATCCCACAATTTAAAAGTTATACATGAAAATAAATGTTGCACTTTCTACTGATAACATTGCATAATAATTATGCATCACATAATACTTTTGGTCACGTAAATGGTATAAGGAAGCATCTACATATTTTTACTGGACAGGTATTGGTAAATTTATGTAGATAAAAAAGACATCTATAACATATTGTGCTACCATTAAGATTCAATACAATACTTTATCATAAATATCAATACTTTTAACATTACTTTAACATTGCTATCAGTCGCTAAAACCGTTTAGTTTTTTCTCTAATTGCTCGGTGCTCTCGGTTGTTAAACATTTTCTAATCTCAAAGCCAAGTGCAGCACCTAACGGCGGCGGTACGGCATTGCCAATTTGGCGATGCTTATCAAGTATGTTTCCATAAAAGCGGAAAGAATCTGGAAAACCTTGTGATCTGGCGCATTCTCTTACGCTTACAACTCTGGTTTGTTCAGGATGTAAAACGCGGCCTTGTTTGCCCATAGGCTCAGGGTTAGTAATCGTAGTACCAAAAAAACCATCCCATTCCAATCGACCATATAACCCAGCCCAGTGATTATGACGATTTCCAGTGTGAGGCAAACACCATGGAATTAAGGTATTGTATTGTCTAGCCATCGGGTCACAAGCTTTGCCTGCACAACAGCTGCAGACACCACGAAATGCTCCAGTGGAACTTTTACCAGCTTTTTTATCGTGATGAGTATATTCTCTGGAACGAGACAAAATTATTTAGTCAATGTATCTACCTTTTTTCTCGTTTACACTCAGCAGCATAATGATGAATTATACTTACAATTTTTTGGAATACGTTCCATCACCTAGACGTACCGCAATGTTTGGTAAATCTCGCCAATCAGATCCGCTTGCGATTGGAATATGCGCTATTCGCGCCTCAACTAGGGGTGCCATGTCTTTGCAAATATGATCCTGCAGTATAGCATCTGGTTCTTTACGTCTTACCTAGAAATAAAAGCCAAATTTAGTACAATTCCGATTATCAAGCATGTTCAGTACCAATACTACAACTCTATTTTCTTCTATCAGTTCGACTAAAATTTTGTAATTCAGAAGTTCAAATTCAGGAGACTGACCTGCATTTACATAATACAAAACAGGTTTATTTTTTCTTACGAATAAAGAAAACAAACGATACTTGCTGCCCTTGTCAGAAAGTACATGTAAAATCTGGCATGTGATTCGTCCGTTACGCAAAATATAAAAATTACGCCAATATACGTAGTGGTAAAATGCTCAAATTTGTAGACAAATTAGCGACTACTGATATATTTTTAGAAACATTAGATGACGCCACAGCGCGTTTAGTTTATCGGTAAATTTGTCAACTAGTTTGTAAGTTTTATCATTACAAAATTTGAACTTGTGAACAATTCGTCTTCACCTTTCTTTGAAAGTGAGACGTTGGCTCGTCCCCATAGGCCATCTCTTCTTTACTCCAACCGTTCCTAATATTAGGTAGATCAGACATCGCATCACGGACACTAATTGTCCTGTACGGTGCTGATTCCGTCCAATCACAATTAGATGAATACTATAAATAAAAATACATTAACGAATTCATTCGAAAAAAATGATTTGTGTATAACTATTATAATAACATACTTTTTTATTATCAACAATAACGCTTAATTGACACGCTCGTTTGCTGAACACGTGAGTCGGCTCTGGGTATTTTGGCAGTGTTTCTCCAGGTGCAGCAGCTAATATTATTAGTCTGGATCCATAACAATCAAAAATTAAAATGTTACTCAAAATATACAATTTAGTTCTTATGAATTAGCTGTACATACCTCCTTCTAGTTTGTGGAATGCCATAATTACCGGCTTGTAAAATACCAAATGTACACTGATAACCCATTCGAACAAGACATCTCAATGTCAATTTGAGAACCATACTTCTTTTAAAGGACACGAAGTTTCTAACATTCTCCATGATAAAGTATTTCGGTCTATAGTAGTCACAATAAGATAAACATGACACTACCAACGAGTTTTTAAATAACGAATATTGCCGCGAATTGAATCGGTTCATGCCACTGAAGCCTTGGCATGGTGGTCCACCACATAATAATTCTACTTCTCCTTTTTGAGGTAAACGTTGACCACTATTGTCAAAAACGTCACCCTGTAAAGAATATACCACAATTTTATATACATATAATATAACTATATCTCTTTCGGACTATACATATTCAATCGTGCAACTTACATTCATAACTTTCTGCAGAAGTACATTGCAGTCTTCGCAAAAAACAGTTGTATCAGGATTATTGAGCCGATACGCACATGCAGCTGGTTCTTCTCTCTCAATCGCCCAACGATTATCTACGATACCAGCTTGTCGCAGTCCCTCGGATAATCCTACAATATAAAGTTTAAGTAAAAACCAAGTATCAAATAAATTGCATCACATTAATATTCATACTAACCGCCGCAACCAGCAAACACATCCAACGTTTTCAATTTTTTTGGCACACTACAGTAATCTACTGCTTTGTCAATCATTTTTTTAGCATCATTGTTCTCGAATGTTTTATTTTTGCACTTTGATTTTCCTTTTCCCTTTCCTGGTTTCCCAATATTCAAAGCACGATTTGGAGGATCAACGAATGTTTTTTCTATTGCATTATAAGCTTGAGAAAAGTAAAAACGATTTGGACCACCTGCGGTCCATTCCTCCACAGATCCATCTAAATTTTCTGAACAAGCCAAATAACATTTACCTACCACCTCCGAAAATTTAACGCTGCAAACTGTTAAAATTTAATTGGTTTGATTAATCTCTTTATTTCCTTGCTTTGTTCATAAAATAAATGATCATTTTTTACCTTCATCGCTCCAATACACCATATTAAGATCAATTTGATGCATTAATGTAAGACCTTTGTGTGTATTTTCTGGTCGATACATCTTGTTTATTTTAATCCATATATCGGACGAAGCAACTAATTTATTATTGGTTGTTGCGTATATCGAGTTAATGTAACCGATGTGGAAGGGTTCAGGTGTATCATAATTTGAACCCTTCACGTGATCAGAAGATTTTCTATAGTATTCTGGATACATATCCTCATCAACCTTCCCTTTCTTTATCTTTGAACTAATGTGATATGTAGACGTATATTTGTATTTTAAAGCTGTAGGCGAAATGAATACAGCAGAACCAACTCTAAATTCCTCCCCTTTGTATTTAACAACATTATATGTTACTTCTTTACTGTTCTTCTCTTCTTCTTTGTCAAAGACCTGTACCAAACAAATATTGGTTTTGCATTAAGAATTGAATACATAATCAGAGAAGAGTTGTGCTCTTATTTTGTATACCTTTGGCGTATAATAACATTGTAATGTTGTGAATCGTACACAAGCAGGACAAAATCGGTGGCTAATTTCTTTTCGTTGGCAGACTGGATCAGGAGGAGGATCCTCAAAACGAGCAGTTTCAGGCGTATATCGCTTTTGGTAAAAGAAAGTTTTTTCATCTTTATTTTGTATTTCATCTTCTGGTAGTAAATCTGCGTTTCCTAAAATGACGCCAATATTTAGTAATTAATATGTAATAAGTTCTTCAATAATAAATGGGGTATTTACCTAATTTGTTCCAATTCTGTGGACTAGCTTTATAAATGACGGTAGCTTTAGATTTCACAGAAGTGAATGGAACATTATCGCATTCGTCAAGTAAAAATACTTCTAATGGGTCTGATGTTTCGCCAAGTACAGTGTCACTGCCTCTTCTAAACCAATTCGCATGACATAGTTTTGCCCCAGTTTTGTCCTCCCACATATACATGACTTTAGCTATTTGCAATGGTACGGTAGGATCGTTCGATTCAATTAATACAAAGTCATTTATTTTTATCTCTTCATCAACAACCATAACTGACTTATAAAATGTTCTACGTCCATCATCAATAATTTGTTCTCCAATCCACGTGATTTCTTTTTCAACATGTTTGAATTCTTTTAGAATCATTTTCTGTGTAATCTTTGTATTTTCCATTAGTGCGTCGTTAACCTCGTCATCTTCTTGGTCTGAATCGTCAGCTTCCTGGAAAATAAATAAAGCTATAACAACTGTTTACTTTATGTGTATGTATATTCATAGACTTTTATTAAAGTTCGTTACTTGAATGGCCATGTTCGGACATCTTCTTTTATTACAAGCTTGTTTGCTCTTTCCAGATCCACCAAACTTAATCATATCCTTACAAGCAGTACAGGCTCCGCAATCTGGTTGTTGGCAAGTTTCACAGACTCCACATCTATGTCTCTTAGGACCCTATTTGAAACAACATTATATCTAGTACTCTGAATTTCATTTATCGTAAAAATGTGAAATACCTACAGATACATCTTTTTCGTTATTTGTAGCCAATTGTTCAGAGAAAAATGTTTCAAACATATTTTTAACTAATTTTGTAGTTGTAGCTTTTGTCCATCCAATTTTCTTCTTTTGATCTCTTGGCTGTATTCTACGCAGTGCAATTCGTTTATTTAATGTTACACCCGCAAGTGTTACTAATGCTCTCATACATGGATTTGTAATTAATAAAGGATCCTCAGGTCTTGCTGATGCATCAAAGGAAATGACTTGATCACAGATAAACTGAGCATATCTTAATAAAGAATCTTCTGTAAATCTAGACAATCCCTTTGGAGGGACTATAGTCTAAGAAAAATAGAGGAGAAATTAAGAAAAGTCCAACATTCCTTGCACATAGTTCGCATCATTTTTTTACACTCACCTGTAATTTATTCAATAAATCTTCATAGGAAGGATTAATCTCATCCAATAAGAATTCTATAACTATTTTACTCATATAAATTTTTTCTTTTACTGAATCCATGAATGGTGTATATGCTTCAGCAGGTTCCATCAATATATATTCAGCAAATGCTGTTGTAAATCCTACAAGAGCTAGTTCTCCACCATCAAAACCTGATACCCACCATTCATTTATTGGTCCCATATCTTTAGTAGGCACACCACCCTCTGGACATGCATTTTCCTCATAAATAGGTTTCATAAAACCAGAAAAATAAAGTATTACATTTTTCTCAACCAGGCCGGTGTCAAAAGCACACAAGTGTCCATTCTTATCATATACACTATAAATAAAAAATTGAATAATGAGTCATTTAACATGTAATGCAACTTCATCGGCAATAAAAAAGCAAAAACAAGAGAAATGTGTATATTGTATCTACCATAAAATGACTTACCAAAAGTCAGTTAACTTATTCTGTGGTCTCTCATCACCTTCATAAACTGTAGCTTCCTCTCCTGTAAATAAAGATAATTTGGGATCTGTTAGCCCGATAAGTTCATCTACTGCTCCATTGGGATGACCTGGATATATCTTTAAATCAGGGCTGTTCAGGTTTTGACAACAATATTCACATTTTTGATGTATATTAATAGGTTTTTGATGCAATGGTTTTGATTCATCCGCATTCACATTGCACTCCTCCGTCTTAGTCTTCTTAAGAGTATTGCTCTCAAGATCATCGCTAGAATCTACTTGTTCATGGTTCAATTCATTTTCAAGCTTATCACAATTTCCTAACGTTTTTTCTTTTTGCTCCAGCATAGGAGTTTTGGCTTCCAATTCTTCAGCTGCATTACTTTTTCTTTTGGTAGGTTTCTTAGATTGATTCTTTTGCTTAGGTGATGCATTTTTATTAACATTCCCATTAACTCTGTGCAAACTTGTAATATCTGTATTTACATATTTTCCACTACGAAGCTTCTTTCTATCTTTATTTACTTCTGGAACTGTTGTTGCTTCGTTCACTGATGAGAAGCCAATTTAACCATATCAATAATAATATTGTTGTAATAATACTTTCAAGTAATGTTTAAGCAGTTTACCTGTATTCTTGTTTTCCTTATTAACGTGGTCATTTATTGGAATTTGATGCCTTCCTGTATCGTCAATCTGTGTTTGTTTTTCTGTCTCGTAACTCTCAGTGTTTGCTGTGATAGCCGATATCATGGTGAATTAAATCCAATAATTCACTGAACTCTCGAGAATCTGTCTTTCAACTCGAGATATGAGCTCCTTACAACTAAACAGTAACAACTCTAATAGGAATGTATGTACTTGTAATGTTAGAGATAATTACAAATGAACACGTTTTCCCATAGTTTCATGGATGCGTTACACACACGCAAGTAACAGAACATGTACGCTGATAGTGTACCGCCAAAATCTTTCAAAGCCTGTTTACATGAAAACGCCATTTCTACACGATCATACAAAGATACATAACACATACATGTATACGAAGTACATGTCAAACACGATACACATAGGATGTTCCAAAAATGTTGTAAATTGTAAGCCCTTGAGAGAGGTGATTCCTGAGGTGATTTGAATATAAATTTTTTCTTAATGAAAATGTTCTTCCTACCTTTCTTAAGGAGTTAGTAATGAAAATCACGGACCAATCGGAAAGCGAGAACGGCCTATGAATCCTAACGTGATGACGTTAGCTTGTATGAATGTACGTATATATGTTTGTATGCATGCATGTCAATCTAAAGTGCGCTTGCGTGATATATTTTCATTGTTCTGCAGTTTAATGTTAAGGAATGTTGTTAGAGCACAAATAATTATTTGAAACGCGCGTTGAAAATATTCTCCAATGAAATGCTTAAATACAACTAATAATTATTCAATATGTCAGCATAATATTACATAGGTATATACATAGATACATATTGTATATGTCATTTTTGTGAGATATGAATTAACATCTGGTGTTATAGTACTACATTACAGTACTACATTACATTTAGCGTAAATTAATATTTGAATGAGGATTTTTTTGAAGATTTCATTACTTCTTAGAAATGTTGATAATATTAAATAGGATTTTCAGAAATCTTAATAAGATTTGTTTTATCCTTAGGAATAGATATATGTGTAGATTGTATGTATGTAGTGCCTCACCTTAGTGAGCGAAGCGGGGGCAACCAGCTTAATAGCATAAAACAAGTAGAGAAATCTGATTGGTTGATGCTTCACAGCTAAACAGTGCTGCCCTCATGATTCTAGACAAAGAGAGGAAGTGACGAGTGAGCAAAAGAGTACGATATCAGCAAGAGAGAGAGAGGTTCTCCTTGACTGAGAATTTATGACTTCCCATCCTGAAAGACTCAAAGTTTTGATTCTGTCTACATGAAATTGGAAAAGATCTTTCAAGAAACTACGTAACTTCTCCTGCATTCTTCAATTAGTCTCGCCAACTCTCATCGAGGAATTTCATAGGAACTCTCTCTTACTCGTTATCTCTCTGTAAGGAGCATTCCGCCCCTTACATTTTATATTCGAATTTCCCTCTCATCGCCATTTGTCGAAGATCATAATACGATAGCGCCATCGCAAATCGTACCTATGTTTGCGTAGTCACGCAATAGTAAATATACATAGTTTGTAGGTACATCTAGNAATTGTAAGCCCTTGAGAGAGGTGATTCCTGAGGTGATTTGAATATAAATTTTTTCTTAATGAAAATGTTCTTCCTACCTTTCTTAAGGAGTTAGTAATGAAAATCACGGACCAATCGGAAAGCGAGAACGGCCTATGAATCCTAACGTGATGACGTTAGCTTGTATGAATGTACGTATATATGTTTGTATGCATGCATGTCAATCTAAAGTGCGCTTGCGTGATATATTTTCATTGTTCTGCAGTTTAATGTTAAGGAATGTTGTTAGAGCACAAATAATTATTTGAAACGCGCGTTGAAAATATTCTCCAATGAAATGCTTAAATACAACTAATAATTATTCAATATGTCAGCATAATATTACATAGGTATATACATAGATACATATTGTATATGTCATTTTTGTGAGATATGAATTAACATCTGGTGTTATAGTACTACATTACAGTACTACATTACATTTAGCGTAAATTAATATTTGAATGAGGATTTTTTTGAAGATTTCATTACTTCTTAGAAATGTTGATAATATTAAATAGGATTTTCAGAAATCTTAATAAGATTTGTTTTATCCTTAGGAATAGATATATGTGTAGATTGTATGTATGTAGTGCCTCACCTTAGTGAGCGAAGCGGGGGCAACCAGCTTAATAGCATAAAACAAGTAGAGAAATCTGATTGGTTGATGCTTCACAGCTAAACAGTGCTGCCCTCATGATTCTAGACAAAGAGAGGAAGTGACGAGTGAGCAAAAGAGTACGATATCAGCAAGAGAGAGAGAGGTTCTCCTTGACTGAGAATTTATGACTTCCCATCCTGAAAGACTCAAAGTTTTGATTCTGTCTACATGAAATTGGAAAAGATCTTTCAAGAAACTACGTAACTTCTCCTGCATTCTTCAATTAGTCTCGCCAACTCTCATCGAGGAATTTCATAGGAACTCTCTCTTACTCGTTATCTCTCTGTAAGGAGCATTCCGCCCCTTACATTTTATATTCGAATTTCCCTCTCATCGCCATTTGTCGAAGATCATAATACGATAGCGCCATCGCAAATCGTACCTATGTTTGCGTAGTCACGCAATAGTAAATATACATAGTTTGTAGGTACATCTAGGGACATGAAAGTCTCTAGGGATATTCTCTAAGCGCAACCTGTAGTGGCAACAAAAAGCGGAAGCCGCGAAAACCGCGCCACGAGTTTAGTCTTTAATGATCTTTAATAGCATTTTGCAACCTTTTCTAGTCCGTGTCCCGCGTGTGTTTTCATCGTATCGTATTCATTCAGTCGTGTTCAGTCGTATCAAGTCTTATTACAGACAGTGTGCTATGCAGTGCTATGCTAGTACACCGTGTATTATTTCCTCTAAGCATATTCCTACAAGTTTGTATAATTAGATTAACAACACAGTTCTTAATGGTCCTATGAATATAAATAAATCATGTCCACCTGTAAAATACATAATATTAATTTCTATAATTTGGAGCCTCGTTCTTTTACTTGTTTGTCTTACGAATCAAAAACAAGAAAGTTAGCACTTGCGAGGTTAGTTTTTGCGTACATGTATGAAGCTGGCACGTTAAATACAGCTATACTAAATGTTTTACAAATGTTTTTACAGAAATGATAATTCCATTGAAGTCTGGAATGTTGCGAATGCACCTTTTGTGGAATGTACAATAGCTGGATGTCAAGAAAACTCCATAGAGAGTATTCTATGGATCGATCAAAGACTATTCTCAACAGGTCTTCATGGAATGATAACAGAATACAATTTAACAACATTGTCTATTAAAAGCGAGGTTGCAGTCACAGGAGGTGCTGCTTGGTGCATGGATCTTAATCATGAGAAAACTTGTTTAGCTGTTGGTACAGAGGATGGATATATCAATACGTTTACTGTAACCAGCGATGCACTGATATATGAAAGAATTTTTGATAAACAGAAGGGAAGGATTCTTTGCATCAAATGGGACAATACAGGAGAAATGATATATACTGGATCTATAGATACAATTAGAGTTTGGAGTGCTATATCAGGCCTTGCAATTCATAAGATGACAACATCTAGAAAAGAAGCTAAAAAAGAAACTATTATATGGTGCTTAGCTGTTACAGACGATAATGTTATAGTTTCTGGAGATTCGCGTGGTTGTCTATCATTTTGGGATCCTCACATGGGCACCTTAATTGAATCCCATGAAAGCCATACTGCAGACATATTAGCTGTTACGTTATCCCATGATATGAATATTGTATATTGCGCTGGTGTGGATCCTGTAGTGAGAAGTTTTTGTAAAATAATTACAAAATCTACTGGGAAACCTCAATGGGTAAAAGGGATCGAAAGGCGATTGCATGCCCATGATGTGAGAGCTCTTGTGGATGCAGATGGGAAACTATACTCAGCCGGTGTGGATGGATATCTAGCTCAATCAAGCTATCCACCTAAGGTCCTTGTTAAGTATCCCCCATTACTTCAGCCACCATGTTCCACTATTTGTAGAAAATCTAAGTGTATTTTGTTAAGATACACAAATTTCCTTGAACTATGGAGGCTCGGTTCTCCTGCTAAAGTCCCTCCAGAGTCTGTTCATCCTGGTATGATCCATCAGTTAGAAGAGGAGCCAATAAAATTGCTCCAATTGAAAACGAAAGGAGATGAAAATATTATTTCTTGTGCTATCAATAAAGACTCTAAAACGATTGTGTACTCGACCGAGAGTCACGTTAGAGTTTTCAACTTTGATGTTGTTGAAGGAGTCACGCAATTGTCGAAGAACGATTCCGACATTTCTGCAACTAGGATACAGAAAATGTTATTCAGTCCAAACGGTAAATTATTTGTAGCGATTAACAATGACGGAAGAAAGAATACTGTGACATTATATAAAGTAGAAAAGAAGCGTTTAAGGCATCTTGGTTGTTTCCACACGGAGGAGGAGTCTATTGTAAACATTGGATTGGTTTGCTTCTCCCCTGACAGCAAATATTTTGTTTGCGCCGACCGTCAAGGCGCAATTGCAATATACAATGTTAGCGAAACTGTGAGCACAGATGCCCCTGCGGCATGGCTGCTACCCAAGTATAATTGTCCTCCAACAGCCATGGCTGTACAGAAAGACACCCTGAATTTGGTTGTGGTATATTCTGATCACAAGGTAAGAAAAATGGGAATCTGTAGAATATTAACGACATTAGAGCGCAATAATCCTAATTCGTAAAATGGTGTGTTAACACTAATTGGTTTCATTTTAGATCGTCGAGTACAACCTTCTGCAAAGGCAGTATACAAATTTTTCGAACAATCTGCAAAGCCGATTGTCGAAGCAATGGCTGGCGCGGCCTTTCCCTATAACGAACATAATCTTCGATCAACGAAATGAGAATATTATAATAATGCACGATGATTCGACGATGTATGTGATCAATAAATCGAACGAGCTGCCGGACAAAGAAATGAAAATTCCGAAACGAGAAAACGGCGAGATCACGGAGGACAGTAGTTCCATTCTGAGCTCGCAGTCTCATCAAACTTTCCAAGTTCTCAGAAAGTATAAGGTAATTTCAGTTTTCCATTTAAATGGGCTTTGGAAAGAACTGAAATGAGCTAAAAAGAAACGTTGTTCACACTATTTGCAGCATCTGGTTTATTTGGATTGGCTAAGTGATGAAGAAATGGTTGCAGTCGATGTCAACCCGATCGCTTTAACAGAAAAATTACCGCCGGCTCTCAAAAAGATGTGGTTTGGGGGATGAAACTGAGACTCGTTTTAGGGTGACTAAATATTGTACAAAGCTATCGGCATATTTTCTACAGAAATATTATCCCGACTGTTTATAAGTAAACACGTGACGATCTATTTTTTAATGCACCTATTACAGTGTACAATACATTGTATACATAAAGCTGTGCAATCAATAGTTGGTGCCAATTGAGTTAGTTTCAACACTGAGATTCATAAAACTCGTCATTTTGATCGGCGTTAGAAACAAGAAAGTCATTATTTTCCTGCCTTCCTAATTTCAAATACTTTAGTATTGTTGATTATTTGCTTGCAAATAATTAAAGGCAGAGTTTTAGGTAAAAGTATATTTATTGAACACACGGAAACACAAGATCGTAAGCTGCTCACCAACGACTGACTAAAAACGCGGAAGACCTGCAAACTGTGGGTCGGAAAATCCTTAGTAGTTATAAATAACCAATCCGTGTAACGGACTTTCGAGACAAAATTTGCTCGACTCGAGTCGACGCGCGTTTAGTCGCAAGGGCCGTCTTACCTAAAAAACGGACAAGGCCGTAAAACATACAAATTACCCATTTTCAATAGCATCGAAAATGCCAGACATTTACAAATATCTATAAATCTAGTTAATACTTAATCCATCGGGTAGGTCATTTTTCTTAATATTACGGGCTTTATGAAAGTTTAATTGCCTTATGTAGTATACAAAACGGCAATGAAAAATACTTTTCAATAGTCCGATAATTGGAGTACCTTTTACAATCATGGAATTTTAACCGAGAAAGATGAACCTTTGTTGTCTAACGCGGAACTCGCCGGGTTCTTCGGGTGGTTCGATCGTCCATTTTGGCGAAATATACCAGCGGCCGGTGAATTCGAGACTGTATTCGGGGCCAAATGATCGCAGGCCCACCATTCCGGATGTCGTTTTGGGAATAGTCGACGACGGTTTTAGTGGAATCGGCGAGCGTTTAATCGCATCCTCTGATGGTTTGCGTTCGAAGGAGTCTGCCGGAAGTCCCTCCTTTCTACACTCTTCGGCCAGCACCTATGGTCAACGATATCGGGACACATTAAAATTTGAGTGGTGAATCTTCTTTCCCCTATACCCTGAATCTCTTCCTAACTACCTTTTTAAAGAATTCACCAGTTAGGTGTTCGTATTTTATAGGCCAATTACGTTGGAATATTTTGTCTTGTAAAGTGATTTCCTTGCTAAAATTCGACAATATCATTAACCAAAAGACTTGCTGTATGCACACGACAAACGAACCGGTTGCATGTACCAAATCTTGTCGAAAGTTACCGCATTCCTCGCGTGATCTTTCCGCCTCGCATGACCTTTGTCGATCTTCCTATCCTCAGTCTTGTCTTGCCCTTTATCCGTCATCTTTTTTGTATCACTGGAAGTAAATTAGGAAGAGTTACAAAACTGCAAAATCTAACAATGTAATCGCGAGATATCAAAGAATAGACTGCACCCTCGTTGTTCCTCGCGGTTTGTTCGATATCTTCGTTGCTATAGTTAATCTTATTTTCGAAGGATAAGAACTCCTTCCCATTGATGAAACATTGATTCGAAAATTTTTGGAGTGCTAGCATAAAAGATTCAAGATATACATTGTCTTAATCATTATATAAACATTTGTTAGATAAAATCAGCTTCCATTCAGTTTCCAACATTCCTCATTTTCTTGTATTAATATTCAGGGCGCTGCAATAATTGGCTAGGACAGATCCTGCTCAAATTGTCAAAACATTAACTACAAATATATATGTTCAAAACATATCTCAATGTGTGTTGAGCATCGTTTGGAAATACTGACGGTGTGATTGAGACTCATCGAGAATCCTATAAAGGGATCGTGAGACGCGGCAGCGTCTCGCACTAAGTAGTTAAGACGGTAGCTGCATATCTTTTCTTTGATCAAAACGGCCAAAAATGTTAATAGCGATTTATTCTTTTAAGCCATGTTGTATTTAATTTTAACGATTGTCCAATTGTTAAGTGTCACCGTGCGCGTATAAAAAGTCCTGAAACATGTTAATAGGAACAGAAATAGCTGAGATATCGAGATATCAATTTCACGTGCAGATATAAAATTTTTCATTTTCAGCTACATATACTGCATAGTATACACTTTTAATTTTAATTAACTGGCTGTGGAGCACTGTACAAATGGAACAATTTACTTTTGATTTCTGTACCTTCTTCAAATTCAAATCAAATATACAGTGAACAACTACTTCTGATTTTAATACTTTCTTCGAATAAAGTTAAATGGTAATAAATACTTTTGGAGTGTTTTTTTACATCCTTCCGAAGTTTAACACTTTACTGAGCTTTTTGTAGCTTAATATTTCATTTTCTGTATTTGGGAACGTTTTTTGGAGAAGAGAAGCATCGTCCATTTCTTGGAGGATTTTTGAATAGTTCATTGATAACTTTCGAATGCTTCTTTGGGAGATTAGTTACTTTCCATTATTTTCTTCTGGATGTTTGTTCAAGTCTTTTTTAATATATTTATGAGTTTCTTTTTCATTCTTAATAGATTTGGCGGTTACAGATCACGTCGGGGTCACCGGTTTCAGCGAACCCATCGTGATGTTCTATTTATGATTTCCACTATCGCGATTCTCTAGGGTCCGAAATTAGACAGAATTTAATTAACAAGTAAATTAACACGAATAAACGCTTAGTTTATTAAGAATCGAATTTAAAAGTATACGTGACAACGAGTCAAATTTCACGCGCAAATACAATCTGCGCATGTTCACGCCATGTGGTCCGATCGTAGAAAGAGTATTTAGGCGCTACTAGAACGTTTGTAAAGCGTAACTCATGCAGGACGCTAATGTTGCGCGTGGCCGTTTGTGGAACTATGAATCTGTTACGGAACTACATGTCCGCCACATAGAAAACGCCGGTGGCTCCATCTCGTATTTATCAAGCAGTTTCATATCTCTAGATAATACCATTTATGTAACGAAATCTGTACAGCAGCTACCTACCTGCTGAATTCGTAAAATCACGTGACTACCCATAAACGACTCGTTTTGGCACTTTGCCGTAAATGTCGCTGTAAATGCTTTTGGTTTATGTATCTACCATTATAGAAAAATTTAGTATTAATTAAAATCGTTGTAAACAGTTCTCATTCTATATTACTAATTCAAATAAGTGAATAATTTGTATACATATTTTTTGCTTCATTTATAATTAAAATAACACTGCGTACCAATGAATTAGAACTCTACATTGAATATTACGATAGCTCCCTCTATTTTTTGTTATTTACTTCTGTTTGTGTCTGATTTATATGAACTTTAGTGTAAATATTGTCAACCGAATAAACAATTTAAATGTTTTATTAATTTCCAAATATTTTTTTTATTCAAACTTAAATACATAATATCATATATGTATTTAATAAATTTTTAAGTTACGTATGTATATCATTCATTGGTTTACACACGAATTTATGTATTTCATGGTTTGTTGTGAGAAAATGGTCGACTGGATCACTTTAAGGTCTAATATAAATGTTTCTTAAAAGTATGTAATATTAATCATATTGTTAATAATTAATTATCAATATTATATGCAACGTCTTTCCTATCTACTAATGGTATACATTTAGGAAGCTATTCCATTTATTGTGGTTACAAATTTGTT